TATATCATAAAACTCCTTGAGAATTTGATTCTTTATCTTTGCATCATTTACTATTTTAAATAATATTCCATCTTTCGTCTTTGGCTTCTTCTACAAAAAACTATCTCTCAAAATATAGACATAGGATTGGTATCTAATGTCTTTATAAGTCTTATCTAATTTTTGCCCCAAACTTGATAGCAAATCTTCTCTCTCTTGTATCATCTTGACCAATAGTCCAACCAATAGCAATTGGGCTTATATCAACAATAATAACATCTGATCTGCGACAATCATAGTCAACTTGCTTTAAGATTGGTGATGACTTGAAGATCTCTTCTAGACCCTCTATGGCTAGTTTTTGCTTTTGATTATATTTGAATTTAGTTTCTTTTTTTAATAGATTATATAGTGGCTCACCTATGTAAGTAAAATGAAGAATCTAAATCTGATAGAAGACACAAGCTTCTAAAAATCTTTTTATTTTAATGATGCTACTACATATCTTCATATTAGCAATAGCATCAACCTTTTCAAGATTAGTTTTTCTACCATACCTCTCACATAACTGTTCAACCACTATAATCTTATTTATTCCAAATTTGAACTTATCAATGGACAAGGTTAGATTTACTTCTTCAAGCCTCTTTAAAATCTTCTCTATATCTTTAATATCATCCTTCTCAAATCTTTTACATCCATTAGCATCAAATATTAAGTCTTTGGCATCATCTCTGTAGCATTTCTTAAGTATATCATCCACAAAAAGAATAATCTTTTTAGGCATAAATTCCTTTAAGATTTGATTTATAGTACTTTATATATAAGCTATTAAATTTGTAGCACCTTGACACAAAGTACTCATCTTCATAAGTTTCAAATGAGTCTTTATAGTTATCAAATTTCTACTTTTTGATGCAAGTTGAAATTGATCATAATCTGAATAAAGATTTTCAATAGAATAGATGGCATATCTTGCAAAAGTCTTGACAACTTTACCCACAATTAGTTCCAATTCTTTATTTCTAATTATCACCTTGTTGAATGGTTGCATGTCTTAGATGAATCTCAAAGTTCCAAACTTCTTTGGCATTATAAACCATTGTTTAAAATACGGAGCTATAAATGGTTTAAGCAATTCCATTTGTATCTTTTCTTTCAATAGATTCACCAATTTAGGTAATAAGGCTTTTGATACAAGAATTGGTTTTAAATTCCAATGTACATGTGGACTAATAAATATAACCATTGGTGCAATAACCATTAAATTAATACATCTAATTTCATTCGATGAAGAGATATAAACCTTATCTTGCATTGAGATTATTTCTCAAAATCTTTTCCTTTAAGATTCTTTCAAGAACTCACTCCTTTCAATCTTCAGCTTAGCCAATGTCTCCTCTATAAAATTATACTCAATCCTTCTTGTCTCTTTCAATTTAGGCTCTTTTTTAGCCTTCTTAATATGATCTTTAGAGTCTAGTGGCACTTGTGTTTTCATTGGCTTCACCTTCTTTGCTACAATCTTATATTTAATATTTATAATTGCTTTAGTTTCTAAGCTATAACATCTAATCAACCTTACTTCAAAAACTATCTTTAATATCTCTTCATATAAATCTCTTCAATAAATCTCTATTATGATATCATTAGACATAGTAACTTCTCCTTATAAATTTTCTAAAACTTATAAAACATCATTTGAAAATCTTTCTTCTTCAATAACTCTAGAAATAAATTTATTACTCAAAAACATACTAATTCTTTTTAATTTTCTTTCAATCTTCTTAATTGATCTTTTATACTTAGAATCTAAATCTTTAACATTCTAAAAATCCAAAAATTCTTATTTTATTAAATTCCAAATCCTATATCTATTCTTCTATACATCAAAGCATGCTATAATAGATGATTGTTTTACATCTATGGCACCTCATATTCTCTGTATACAATTTAAAGATCCAAAAAATCATCATGCTCATGATTAATAGAAGTTTTTTTAAGTAGATTTCTATGCCACTCATGATTTGGTCTTACTGTGAAAAATTATATTGACTTCTCAACATCATGGCATTGTATCCTGATATAATGAAAGCTGTTATCTAACACCTTGATTTCTATCCTTGTTTCAGTGATATACAACTACCTCAAAATATTAATTATCTTCATTTTTATTTTTCTTTTAGAAGTGGAGTATTAATTCTTAGGTATAAAGCAAAAAGCCATGCTTCTTGTCTTAAGTTGTTTGCTAACCGTTCTTCTAGAATAGCCTTTCTACCACTTGGGACCTTTTTTTTATTAATTGGCTCTTCTACCTCTTCTTCTTCATGAATGCTATCTCACTTGACCTCCATTGATACATCATAGGATTCCTTCTTATCATATTCACTTATCAAATAGGTGTTGATAGAGGTTGTCTCAATTGGATCATTCTAGCCAATTAGTCTTTTATTAACTTGTACTCCCTTCATCATCAATTTTTTAGATATATATATGTAAAGATTCTCATCTTGGTGTATTCAATCTCAATGATAAATATTTCTATCTCCTTACTATGTGAAGAATTGATTCTTCTCTATTTAACTTCTATCAATTTTTTTATGCTACTTCTCTTAAAATTAGTCTCCAAATACCTATTTGTTGGAGCATATCTAATTTTGCCTTCTTTGAAGGTAATAATGCCATTCTTTATGATATCTTCATATGATCCACAGTTACCATGTGTGTCATTTGGATCATCAAACCAAATGCATCTTACTACAAATCCCTTTGATCCTTCAACCAATTATGAATTATGTGACCTTGTGTTTTTCTTTAAAACATTCATTTCTACTTTCAACTCTCTCATGTCTCTCATTAATTTTTTAAGTATGTCTTTGACTATAGACTTATCTTTTGAAGAACTTAATAGACTAGAAGCATGCAAAATTGTTGTATAAGACTTCACATCTATCATTAATATTTTTTCTATTCTTATCCATAATGTTTTAGCCTTTATACATTATTGCTTAGCAATGAGGCTTACTACTTGATTATTATTCTATCTGATCAAGAAATCATCTATTAGATGTCTTTTTAGCATTCTCATCAAAATATTTATCTTTCTATCTTTCTTCAAATCTAGCTCATTTATTTATATGGATGCTCTAATATAGTTATTTTACTATTTCTTTGATTTTTAAAATAATGTCTAGATTAAAGGTCTCAATCATCTTGTCTTTTGGAACTTTATAGATTTCCATTTTATAAGTGTAGATCCTCAAAAGCCAAATGATTTTTTTTCAATCAAATCTTTTTACTTTATCAATAATATTTTTCAATTCTTTAATAGCTCTTTACCTATTTTCATTGGCAACTTGTTGACTCATAATTATCTGTATAGCCCTTAAAAATTCCTCTACAAGATTCTAACTACTTCTTCTATTTGAGTCACTTTACTTTGTATCCTTTAACTTGCTTTGACCAATCTAATAGCTCTAAATTTGCTTTCAATCAAAGCACCAAATATCATAATAAGAGTGTTTTCTTTAAAAAAGCATATGATTTATGGCTACAACTAGAGATGGTCAAATAGTATCTTTTATTTAAATGAAGTCCACTATTTTATACTCTTAATACTATGTAAAAGTTGTCATTTCTTCTTCACTCAACTAAGCACCATAGTTCCATATTTCATTACATTTGATCAAGTGATGACTCTTTATAGAGCTACTCAATCAATATATATATATATATATATATATATATACTCATTAAATTTTACTTTTTAAATTTTTCTATGACATATTTTATGAACAAATAAAGCTAATGATCATATTAACATAAGGCAATTGATTTTTTTTTATCAAAAAATTCACTCTATCTTCATATTAACTCTTCTCAAAGCAAGTAAGAGCTTCTTGAAAAGCTAATAGAGAAAGGAACCGTTTTTCAAAAATCTCCAAACAAAATACTAGAATTGCTCAAAGAAAACCACCAAAGAAATCCTTGAAGATCTTGAAGAGCGGTTAGCTCTCTTTTTATTCTAAAACACACTCCATCTTCATACTAACTCTTCTTGAAGTGAATGAAATCTTTTTAAAAAGCTAAAAAAGAGGAGAACCACTCCACAAAATTTTCAAATAAAATATTAAAAATATTCTAAAAAAATTGCTAAAGAAGAGAAGATAGCTAATATGGGGCAAGGTTTTTTTTCTATTAAGAAAAAAATCTTTATTGAAATTACCAATTTTTTTCAAATTTCACAATATAGAAAGATTTTATGGTAAAATAAAATTACCTAATATAATTTTTTTAAATTTTTGATATAAGATTAAAGTTGTTTTGAAATGTTGTATATTGAAGAATGAAATAATGTAATAACATATCCAAAAATAATTAATAATTAAATTAGAATTCTAACCACATTTATTAGAGAGCAGTTTGTTTTCATTGATTTTAATAATCAAGATACAAAGACATTATAAACCACATTTTTCACAGTAAACTATCACATGATGAATGTACTTGATTATTATAAATAAGAAATGCAGGTGTTTTTTTACCAGCCTAACCAATGAGCAAGGAATGATGCATTAATGCTAATGTATATTCCCATGTAGCATAAAAAGGATGTGCTCTCCAAACTACGACAATCCTACAATGGAATGCTTAGGGAAGTCAATGGAGCCCTCCCAGCTCCAATTCTCCACCTACCAAGGAAGTAAGGGATCTTAGCATAATAGGTACTCAGCTGGTACTAGATGAACAGAAAATCCAAATGGCTCCTCTCTGACTAGACCATTGTAATAAACCCTTAACCTTGTCTAATTTCTTGGACACGCATGGGCGACGGACAGATGAAGAAAAAACGGATGAGAGTGCAAGCTGGCTAATCAGTTTCGAAAGGGTCCCACTTGCTGAGGTGGCATCACATGGCAAGCCATCTGGAACCCGAATGAGATCCAAAGGCTGACTCACATGCTGAAGTGGCAGTCCACCTGGAAGCCAAGGGAGCGAGGGAGGGAGGGTTTGTCTGTGAGGCTCTCTGTCTATCTCGTTCGTCTTGTCCATTCCCCTCGTCGACGACTTTCAATTTTGGGAAGTGGAGCGTTCGTCTTACCGCATCGCCTCGCATCGCTTCGCATTGCACTGGCACTCGCAATCTTACGCTTCCTTTTGCGATCTCGCTTCTTCAGACTGCATCGAGTTTCTTAGTCTTCTACTTCATCGAGCTATCCGGGATTTCTTGCGTTATATTCCCTGTTCGTCTGCAGAGTGTTCAACACTTTGTCACCATGGGCGACGTGGGGAAAAAGCGATGGCTGCCTTTGGAGGCTAACCCTGACGTGATGAACCAGGTCTTGTTGCTTCTTCCTTCTCTAGCCGTGGTGGCCTTGCGAGGGGATGGTTTTTAGCTGACCTTCGTGTTGGTTATATATGATTTTCCTCTCCCGTGATGTAGGTGCAGGGTAGCTTTGTAGTTGGTTGCGGGTGTTGTAAGAAGATCGCTGATTTCTTTCCGCTGGTTGACGATCGGTTCTCCAGTGCTTCACTTGTGTCTTGAATTTTCGTATTTTAGGTTTGATGAGGTGGTATTGTGGGGGTGGATGGAGACACCCTAGATGATCAGCTTAGATTGAGCATTACCGCTAGAGTGGTTGTTTGCGTTGAAGAGGCATTGTTCCAGTGATTTTTAGGAGCAATTTGTTTCTGCATTACTATGGTTGAGCTAATTTGGACTAGCGAACCATGTCTGTGTACATGATCACGGGCGCTCGTTTTGTAGAATGGTCTGTCTTTTAGGTCAGAAGTCATTCCGAAGTCTTTTGTTGGAAAATCTTAAGCAAATTTTATTCACGAATTGCCAACTTGGAGACGCAAATTTAGTTTCGCTGGATGTGCTAATCGAATTTTGGTATTTTCCGCATACGGAATATTTAGATTGATAGCGTCCTTGAAGCATACCTGAATTTAGCGCAGTATTGGCGTCGACTTTTCATGTGGGATCGTTGTCTTTGACAACTTGTTTGGTGTCCAGAACTAGATTTGTCAGACACTTCTCTTACTAACCAATATGATTGCGAAGCCAATGCGTTTCCGGAGTTACCCTCTTCGGGTGGCTACTTTGGTGCGGAAAAGAGATTGATGGTTGTCGTGGTTTTCTCCGCAGTTCTTACACGGCCTGGGGTTTCCAAGTGACGTAGGGTGTCATGATGTGTTTGGATTCGACGATGACCTGCTGGCTATGGTTCCAACCCCTGTCCTTGCTGTGCTTCTTCTGTTTCCTATTACCAAAGAGGTAATATTAACCTGAGCATAAATTTTAAGTTCTCAAATCTTCCATGTAACTTCCGCATGGAAGGAATATCAGCTGTCTATTTTAGCAAATTTTCATAGCATTATCTTATGGTTTATCATGTACTGTTCTGTTTCCAATGGTATGTGTTTTGCATTGCATTCACCAGTCACTTACTGAAATCTGTTGTAACGATGATAGTCTGAGGAGGCGAGCTTGGTGGAGCAGACCAAGATTGCAGAGGCAGGACAGCAAGTAAGTCTTACGATACTATATAGTTGGAATGCGGCTGTGTGCATTGAATGTTCTCGTCCCTTTTACCGCTGCGGTTTTGCATTTTGAATTTCGCCATTGACAATAGATACCGCATGGCAGGTCAGTGAAAATGTTTACTTCATGAAACAAACTGTGGGGAATGCTTGTGGTACGATTGGCCTGCTTCATGCTGTTGGCAACGTAGCCGCTCAAGTTGACCTTGGTATGCCCTTTACGAGGTACCCTATCTTGGTGGTTTTGAAAGGCAAATTCACTCTTATGGTTCATGATGTATCCAGGTTCTCCATGTAATGCGCATTGGTGCACGGAACAAAAACTAAGTTGATTCGTTATCTCATCTAATTGCAGCGGAAGATTCCTATCTTCAGCGCTTTGTCAAGAAAACTTCTGTGATGTCTCCTGATGAGGTGTGCTACTACACTGAATATTCCCCTTATTTCTTTACATTATTAATATTATTACTGTTATTTTATTATTTTGGAGATGGGAAGGGCTAGTATTTTGGTTTTCTTGTATATCCTACTAGATGTGGTTCTTACAGAAGTGCAATCTTAACATTAACGACTTAAGGATTTGATCAATTTTGAGCATAAACTTTGCATTCATTTGGTCTAGGATCTCCTGGACAAGCGTTGATGTGACGTCTATGAATACAGAAAGCGCATTTTCTTGAGACGGACACTGAGTTGGAAACTGCACACTCCGTGGCTGCATGTGGTGGCGACACCGCGGTAACACATCCTCCTGGAGATGTTTTAAAATTATAATTTTGGGTGCTGCCTAGTATGCAGAATGGTCGTTATGCATTTTGTGTAACCTGAAAATTTTGTCTTATCAGACTGTTCTTACTTCTTTGAACTGTGCCTTCACATCCTGAGATGCATTACCCATATGGGACTTGAAGCTATTCTGTTCGTATTGTATATCAATGAGCTGTATCCTGGAGTTTTTGTCTGGATAAATAGGGTCAATTCTTATCTGGGCTCGTGATAGTGCCAAAAGTTTTTCATTTCCTAACGTAGTTGTGGTGCTAAGTTAATTTCAACTGGATGCGGTGTTTTACAGCCTCCAGATATTTCAAGCTCCGTGGATCTTCATTTCATCTGCTTTGTGTGTGTTGATGGTAAGTCCGTTACACTAACTGACTCGCATACATGTGTAGTTGTCTGAGTTCTGGTATTATTTCCACATGTAACTTCAGCCTTCCACCTACAGTTAGAAGTTTGTGAAGGTGGTGGGCTCTGACTGTTGTATGGTTTAGTTGAATAAAATGCTTTAGACAAAGTTGATCACGTGATCGGTACCCATTAGAATACCAATGGCTGTTTCAAGCAATTTCTGCAAATTCTAAGAGTAACCATTTTGTTTGTCAGAAGTTTGCATTACTAAAATGTGGCCAATGGCTCAGTGTTGTAGTTTGATTTAGCATGTGCTATGCGGTTCATTGAACTCATCTTAGTTGACCTTGATGTACAGGAGGTTTGTATGAGCTTGATGGAAGGAAGAAGCAACCCATTTATCATGGACCTTCCTCACAAGAGACGCTACTCAAGGTCTTTACCTTCTCATAAGATAATTGGCAGTTTGTAGTTGCTTAAACGTTTTCAAATTATTTCATCTCACAATCTCAAATACCAGTGCCTTATTTCTGATGTAGATTATATGGGATGTGCAGGATTCGGTGAATGTGGTTCAGGAATTTATGGCTCGCAATCCTGAATCAATGAATTTCAATGTCATAGCTCTTGCTAAGGAGAGTTGATCTATTTACAATGTGCAAATCATTGTGCACCTTTAAATCATTAGTTACCCAATTGCATTGTGAATTTGTCTTTCACAAAACAAGCATGTTCTCATGAATTTTTAAGAGGTAGAGGAAGTTAGGAGGTGCTGCTATTGTGGCAGAAGATGACTTTTCCACATGGTAGTACAGTACTTCTATGCCTGATTTCTTATGTTTTAAGAATGTTCTTTCTACACATTTCGCCTCCTTGATGTATGCATGCCAAGAGGTGCCACTAGATGTATGCAAGCCAAACAGATTTGGTTGTCTAAAAAAATTGAATTTTCTTGCTTGAATTTTCAATGTAGATGAACATCATTCTATTCATTGAATCTTTGTGAATCAAATCCAGATAATGATACTTGCAAACAGAAAGAGTGTTTCTTTTACATGAATTTTTCAAGTCATGGAATTAATTTCATTATTTATAATTAAATACAACAAATCTACAAGGAGGTGTCTTTTCTAAATTGGTCCTTAAATCAAGTTTTAAGCCAAGCTCGAAGACCTTCTAATCTATCCATTCAATATGTGGGGTTGTTAAAGACATGAATTTCAAAGAAAGAAATCCTCAATGCTTTCTTGTGACACTGAGAAGAACTAGAAAGTCACTTAAAGATGATATATTATTGAATTAGAATGACTATTGCCAAAAATAAGAAGACTAGAAAGTTTAGAAATAAGACTAAGGACTAGAATGGCATTGACAAAGTGAAGAAGGTTTCACTTTTGCTTCCATATATACTCTTAATTAGGAGCTATGTGGTAATATCCTATAGGACTTCTAAAATATGTTGACTTTGTAAGACACGTATCTTAACTTGCAAAGTAAGTTTTTTATATGTGCGCCACAAAGTTAACTTGTTTTGCAAGCTACTAACACGTGGTTAACTTGTTAACCAAGATTCTAACCTATCAATCAACTACAAACACATATAAAGTCAAAGGAGCATCTATGAAGCTTTTAAGAAGCTTTTCTACAAGATATTATAAAATTAATCTATTTTTATTTACTTTTACTTATTTTTATTTAATCATATAGATATTTATTTGTATATCTGTGATATTATCGTCCCTTCTAGGAATGAGTTCCACAAGCATCAATCATCATGTACTGATGAAATCTAAGATGCAACAAATTATATTTACCACATACTTTTATCTTTGTTTTCTTTGAGGATAGTTGATAGGTCTTCTTAGCTATCAGTAGAGCTTCATAGCAGGGCGAGAAGATCATCATATTATTTGATCATTGTTGAGGCCTTTGTAATTTATTTCAAATAAAACATTTGGAATAGTATCAAGAGTTGTTTCTACCTCTATTAAAATCACCAAACATTGGGAATAGTATCAAGAGTTGTTTCTACCTCTATTAAAATCACCAAACATTGGGAATTTCTTCCAAGGTTGTGATAACAAACATATTGTATCTCGCCATCTATTTGAGGAAATAAATGTCATTCTTGAAGATCTTCATTTTGATTACGTCATCTTGAAGGTTGTGACAATTGTAATATCTCATCTGATAAATTGGCAAATGAAAGATCTTGAATTGAATGTGCTAGTTGTTGGTTTTCCATCTCCTTAGCATCACTAATATACAAAAGCTACAAAGAAAGATAGAAGGTAGAGTGTTATCTTCCTTTGATCTTGTTTCTTTTATAAAAAAGATTTGCTATTTTTTTTCTTAGTTTTGATGGAGGTTATTAATGAAAAGCTTCAGTTCTCTTTGTTGCATTTGTAAGATTCTTTGTTGGCTCCATTGTGCATTCACTAATATCATATCCATACCAATGAATAAGATATTTTAATCTATTTTGGCACCGCCTTGAATTTAAGACTTCTTCTACCTCAAACTCTTAATTATTATCCACTTCCATAGGAGGACGTGGCATTTATCTTCTTCCCAAGATATTCACTATCTTATATAATTCAAGAAGAGATATGTGAAATATGAGGTGGATCTTCATAGACTCTGGTAGATATAATTGATAAACAATAGAATTGACTTATTTATTAATAAGAAAAGGACTAAATCTATAATAGTCCAAAGTAGAAGATTTCTTAGGCCATATTTGGTTTTCTTGGATTATTTGAATTTTGGAGAAGAAATACAAGAAAGTTAGAAGAAGAGCTTTGGGTGATATGTGAATTGGAGCTTTGGAGACTATCTTAAAATACAATGACAATATTTGGATTATCATGGAGTATTATAAGGCTTTATAGATATGTTGGAGCATTGTGAAGTATCATAAGGTATTTATTGGAGCATTTCAAAGAACATTTTTGATCATTGTAGAACAAAATGGAAGATGTGTCATCAAGATTTTTGAATATGTCGAATATTATGGATGGATCAAATATTAGTGAGTTTTTTAAGGCTTTCTATATATTCATGGAGGAGCAACAAAGAATGCAAGCAATTGAAAAAGATATCACAAAGGCATTGCAAGGAGTCATCAACAAATTTGGAAGATTTGAAGGATGGAACATAACTAAGTTTTTGTAAGTTTATACATGTGAGATGGAGACATGCCAAATCCTTGAGGCAAAGATGATCTCAAGCTTACATTTGGCTATTGAACCTAGATTTCATAAACAAGTGAAGAAATTGCTTGGAGGAGGTGTAGAAACATGGTCAAAATTTCAAGAACTTTTGAAGAAAGAATTTATTGATGGAAATGAGGATAAAATTATCAAGCAAAAGGTTTTGGATTGGGTAGAGTTGCAATCAAGTAAGCATATGGATCTTTATGAATTCTTAGAAGAATTTGATAGGAGATTTTATCAACTCTCATCCTTGGAGAGACGATCATTGGGTGCTTTAAAGGTAGATTTATTTTTACATGGTCTTGATGATGCCTTGGAAGATGAGGTTTTCATGCTTCTTGAAGATGAGTCTACGGACAGTGATTATATTAATAATTAGGAGAAGTTGAAGGAAGTAGTGGTTGTTTTAGCAAGGCAACAAGAAGCAAAAGCTAAAGAAGTTTCAATATGGCCTAAGAAATCTTCTACTTTTACATAAAGAAATCCTAATGCCTATATCCTTTATTTTTCTAATCTACCTTGTTTTGTCTTATTTTTGGCCCTAAAAAGTAAATAGAAGCTATTTTTTCTAAAAGAGTAGCATTACTATTAAAAGTTTTATTACCTTCCTATCTTTTATCTATATTTTTCTACCTTTTCTTTTAACTTGGCTCTTCTATAATAAGATCCATATTATCATCTTTCACCATATAGTCGTGTTATAACATGACACCATCTTTCATCACCATGGATTACCTTGTGTCATCATTTTAGATTAGAATCCATGCTTCATGAGAAGTTTTTGGTAAGCCTTGTTCAAGCTGCTAGGCACATGAATTGCCATATCTATAGTCTTCTATCTCAAAAAAAATGGGCAAATAGAGCATATAAATCAGACTTTAGAAGATATTTTGTAGGCATTTATAGGAGTTCATCATAATGATTGAAATGAATACTTGACGCCTTTGGAATTTGCTTATAATGATAGTATTTAAGCAAGTACCAATCATTCACTATTTTTTCTTAATATCCAATTATACTAGCAACTCTCTATTGTCCCATCGACACCAAAAATTTGATAATAGAAGAATTTATACAACTTACAATGGTCTTACAAGAAGCACAACACTACTTCTTTACTACATAGAATTGATAGAAGTAGTATGCGGATAACCATCAACAATACAAGACCTTCTGAGAAGGTGATGAAGTATTACTCTCCAACACCAACTTGCCGCTTGCTACATCAATCCAAATCCATAAACTACCACCTCTTTGGCTTGAATCTTTTTGCATTTATGCAGTGATTTTTGATGTCGCATATCGCCTTGAGCTTTGGCTACATATTTGGGTCTATCTAGTTTTCTATATTTTGTAATTGAAGGAATTTCATACCGAGCCAAAGTACTTTTTGGACCAACATCAATCACTACCACAACTTGTTGTAGTTGATGATGGATAAAAATATGAAGTGGAGAGGATTTTAGAAGCATCGCTACCTTTGTTGTGGTAGCGGATGTCCATAACTTTAGTACAAAGTTCTTTAAAAAGGTTATCCCATTCACAATGTAATGTGGGAACCTGTACAAAATCTTATTCATTACTAAGAGATAATTTGAAGATATCATCAAGAGTGAAACAAAGATGTTTCATATTAGTGGAGGGCAATTAATTGTAATAGGATATAGATAAGATAATTGTATAGATAGTTACAACCATCGAAGTTTTTAGAATTAGAATTAGGTTAGTAGACCATACAGGATCTATCAAGAAACATTCTTGAAAGAATTTAGGATGGTTATTTAAATAGTATCTACCTTAAAACCTTCTAAAAAAGACTTAAGGCAATTATCTAGGTAAAATCCACTTCTTATGAATATTTTAGAAAGTCTAAGATAATAAAACAAGGTATAAATAGGACTAGCCAAGGCCTTTTGGAGCAACTGGTTAGGTATGACTTTAGACCCTTTCTTATAGTAAAGTTTGGTTTTGCGTTCTTTTTATCAATTCACTTCTATTTTATTTTTATTTCTTTAATTTGTCTTTTATATCTTATTTTGTTTAATTCCATTTAGTTTTTTTTTGGTTTTTTTATCCTATTTTGTGATAATTTTTTATATTGCTATAGAATAGAAAGATCTTGAATTTTTGAGATAGTCTGGTCTTATTTCAATCATTCTTTGTTGATCAAAAGATACATCTCTTTCTTTTAATATTAGATAAGAATGTTTAAAAAGAACGTTCAACAAACCTTATTGTTTTTTGGATAGATAAGTGAACTTGAAATCAAATCTTAATAAGGACATCCTTCAATGACTATGACAATAATTCAAAACATATTTTGACATGAAAGACTTGAGATTCTTGTGATTTGTATACACAGTGATTGGATTCAAGCCATCTTCTAAATAATGATGTTATTTTTGAAATGAATCCATAATTACAAAGAGCTCTTTATTGTCGATCACATAATTAATTTTGGCTATTAAAATTTTTTTGGAATAAAAAATTATTGAATGGAATTTATCATTTGCTTGTCAAAAACATGAATCTTAAAGAAAGAAAATCCTCAACACACTCTTGTATCATTGAAAGGAACTAGAAAGTCAATCAAAGATGATATAATATTGAACAAGAATACTTATTGCCAAAAACAACAAGACTAAA